GTGATATCTGTAGCTGTACTGTCCTGTGGCACTCCAAAGACTATTATGGTACGCCTAGGTGGTCTGGGTACTCTTACACTTAATGAGTGATCTAATTCCGGAATTTCACTGATGGCGGTCCTGAGTTTGTCCAGGTCTGTCTTCTCTCTACACTCTGATGAGTAGTTCCTGGGAGCGCGTAGGCCTTACTTGGACGATGTTAATCCCCACTTTATTAGGCTTAATACTACTCACTAGCTGCTTCTGAACACTTTCAGTAGTGCGACTCGTGTCTTTACTCTTAATAAGGAGAATGTGGTCAGGAAGCTTTGTGGCTGGAAAAACTTGTTTTAGTCTTCTGCGTCTATTAACCACAACGGTAAAGCCTTCGTTTGCTGCTACTTCTTTCTGCTGCTGCCTGTCCTCTACTTCCTGTGCTGGTGAAGTTGCTGCTACTACCACAGTTCCTGCTACAGATGCTGAGGAAACGCAATACACTACATCAACTCAACAACAACCTAAGCAACCTATTTACAACACTACTATATCATCACAATATGAAAAATCTCACAGCATTAGTGTTATAATTCACCAAGAATAATATTCAAGCTACAGAAGAACTTCAATCAAAATCAGATGCATTGGAAGTGTAAACAGCTACCGATTCAGGAGCTAAGTGAAAAAATTGTCGTCTCCTCCCATGAAGGTGTGAGCTGCAAGGTTTTGACGCTTCTTCTTAGAAGAGAATTTTCTAATTAAGACTTGGGAGTAATTAACAAAGTCACATTGCACAGCTTTGTTGAAGAAGTTTTCATCAGATCTTCTGATGTAATCTGGAATCGTCTCAAGGTTTAAGTCTCTGTGTAAAAGTTTATTGCGGATAAGATAGTGTGAATCAGTAATAATGTGCAGAAATTTGTTTTGCACTTTTTGTAATTGATGCAGTTGAGTTTGAGTGACTGTTTTTCAAGCAGGAGCAGCATAACAAAGTATCGGTCGAATGCAAGTGGTATATATATGTTTTTTGGTACGCAAGCTAAGATTTGAATATTTTCCAATGACCGGGAGAAATCTGCATATTAAGCCCCTGGCTTTGCTCTTGACACTATTAATGTAGTTAGACCATGTGAGCCTTTGGTTCAAAATAATTCCTAAGTATTTGGCTTTTGTGACAAGAGGAACAGCTTTCTGAAAAAGGTAGAGATCTTTAAAAGCAATGTTTTTCTTAGTTTTGCTAAAAGTTAAAGTTGTGACTTGCTAGCATTGATTTTTACGTGCCAATTTGTGCACCAGTCTTCTACAGCAGAGAGGTAATTTTGCATTTTGTCTATTGCATGATTAGCTTGGATGGATTTAATTGCAATCGCCGTATCGTCGACATAACATGCTAACAGAGAGTAATTGTCCAAACCAAGGTGAGGAAAATCTGATATGTAGAAAAGAGATAGCACTGGACCGAGAATACTTCCTTGTGGGGAACCTGGATCTTATAGGTCTTGAATTGGATTTTTCATTTCCTTGATTGACGAAGAAAATGCGGTTCTGAAAAAAAGGAGATCAGAAGAGGCTAAAGCAGAGTGACGCAAGATACTTCTACCTGAAGTAGATATGACGTCATCTCACGGCAATCAATCATCTATCGGCACAACTCAGCTTTCCAGATGACGTAACATCAAGTTTCATTTTTGCATCTTAATTAGGCTGGAACAGTCCGTTCTCAATACAAACAGTGGCAGTGAGAAACGAAATAGAAGTAATTGCTATATTCCTTTAAAATAAGAACTAAACCTTTTGTAAAAGTTAGAATTATTTCAAGGAGGAGAGATGATGCAGAAAAGGGTTACAATAGGTCATATTTTCCAACATTAACGACTTTTGACTGTACACACTTACATCTAAAGAAATAAAAATGAGTGGTTAAGAAAATGGAAGATAAAAAGACAGGGTTCGTATGGTCCTTAAGAGTCCTTAAAGTTTTTGGAATTGATTTTTGGTCCCTTAAAAAGTCCTTAACTTTGGCCAAAATCAGCAGGAGGTCCTTAATTTTAATCATCTGAAATTTCTGTTTGTTTTTATGACTGCCATTTTGAGTGTGAATTAGCATTTTGGAGGAATATTTTTGGTGATTCACTGACATATATGGTTATCTTTTGAATGTGTTCATGGGTTATAATTTGTTTCTATTTCTAATAAAAATGATGGGATACTCGAGTTTCTAAGCAAGAAGTGAAACATAAGCATTTTGAAATTCCTTTTTTTTTAATAAAGAACTCTTAAACAACTTTTCGCTTTTGGGGATGTGAATTCTTTTATTAAACAGCTCTAAATTTGGCGACTTGTCAACATTTTGGCGATTTTAGGATCAGTTTCTGTAGAAAATTTTTAATGCCGAGATCTGACAATTTTTCAACCAGTTTTTTTAAAGCATCATAACATTGATAAATTTCATTAAAATAATGGTAATATATTGAAATTATGTATAAAAAATAACGTTAAAATAACACATTCTATTTTTCGCTGCCATATTATAAAATTTCATTTTGACAACTTATACAATATTATGAATCTGATAAATAAGGCATATTGCTATAAAGCATAATTTACGAAACAGCTCTTAGCAAGAGCAAAATTAGCTATGCAATTAATTAAAAATGTCTTCTTTTTAATTTTTTCATAGTAAGCATTTTTCCCATGCAATTGTCTCGGAATATTCAAAATTCTCAGAATATGCATCAGTTTTCTCTATAAAATTAATTTTACACTTTTTCCCTCCTTCTTTTTTTTCAAAATATTTCTGACTTTTTGCTGTTACAGAATTGGTAGGGATAATTTTTCTTAAGTATTTTAGACATTGCAGCTTGGAAAGTTTAGAAGGGTTTGAAGTCAAGATTTATAGACCCACGGTTCTAGAAAATTCGAGAAATATGTGACAAAATGAAAAATGTCTCCATGATATTGACATGTAATGGATGTATTTTACAGAAAGTTTGCGATGAATTTCTGACCTTTTGGAGAACGTCTGGAAGAACAATGAAAGCATAATATTTTAATGTTTTACTCCTGATACTAGAATCTTTTTCTTAACGTGTTTATCTTCCCTTTATTTTCTCTACCTTCACTAGATACAAGCATCAAAAATATCAAAAATGCTTCTAATCTTATCACTGGGCAGGCATTATAGAAAGGGATTTTTTTATTAATAAAGAAATTGAAAACTTAAATTTAACAATTTAAAAGATTCATCTAATATGCCTTAATGAAGCATACACAGAGCTGGCACTAGGCATTTTTCCCACCTGATGCAATCTCTGTGGCTTTACCATATATATTTCATATTTCTTCTGAATGTTCATATTACTAAAGAAATAGAATTAGCCACTTTTTCTATACGTTCTAAATGCATTTAGTGTTTTTTAGAATAACAGAAATAATTAGATCCAAAAATTCTAAAATGAAAAGGAACCCTGTTGAAGAAAGAAACTGAAAAATTACTCCTCAAAGATATGTGCAGTTATTATTATGTAACTTACCCAATTGTTTATAATTTCAACCTTTCAGTTTATGACTCAGTCAGGGGTTTGGGACTATTTAACTTTTACCAGATCAAGTAAACCCTCATAGGTACCTTGTGGAGATGTTGACAAGTTAGGAGATAAGCACGCAAAAACTAGCGAGAGTATTGGTTTGCATATTGAGACAACTCTCTAATTGTTAGAAAAGATGCTTAAAGAGAAAGAAATCTATATAAACTAGCCAAAATATTTGGAAAGGCTTCAAATTAAAATGGAGGATAAATATTTTGCTGAGTGCTGTTACAAAACATAAATGTTTTGTAGCTTTTAATGTGTATCCTAATATCGTTTAAGAATCAATGTCATAAATTACATGTATTTTAAACTGAAATTTTATTAGATTTTGATTTTAATAGGCTTTTTTTAACAAATATTGTTAAAAAATTAAATTTTAGTGGCCATGTAAATCCATAATGACTTAAGGTTATCTAATTACCTAATTTAATTATTTATAACTAACTGCTTACTCCTTAAAAGTTATCTCTACATATTAAAGCGAGTTACTGCCTTTTCATTGAACACTTACTGTGGTCACAAGATAAGAACGCAAAAATTTAAAATTCAAGTAAAACTTATTCTATTGCATCATTTTTTTGCATCTAGTGAAACTTACAAAGAATACAAAACAACTTATCATCTCTGGTACTTTAATCGCTTATTGGAACATTTAAGTATATTAACTGGGCTACAATACCTTGGAACTCTACACAAAGCTGTGACACTAACTGCATCAAACAGAGCCTGACTAAGTTTCAACACTTGCCAACTGTGTCTAAATCAGACCTTTCGGGTTTGTTCTAATGAGCAGGTCTCTATCTAGACAAGCAACAGCGTTGACAACATTCAGTCTTTTGTTATGAATCATGCTGATTATGATATTACTTCTCCTTTTAAACTATACCGTTTGACATAAAATCTACCTGCTATTTACTAAACCTCTAGACTGACTAAGTATGTAACAAAATGAGACATAAAAAAATCAACATAAAGCTAACTATTAGTAAAACATAAGTAAATGTCATCTTCTTTCAAATATGTCCAACTATTATAAGTGTAAAATATTTAATCTTACTTGATAAATTGTATAAAGTTTATTTTATTCTCAAACTTATCAATCATTATGTTAATTAATTCATGTTTAGTAATAATGCATACCACTCAGGGATCTATTTTATTTTTAGGATGGTATTACAAAAGTGAAATTCAGGCATAGAATAGTATTTTTAATTGAATTTATTCAGTTCTCATTTGCTCATAGGTCCTTAACTTTTTCATTAATGGTCCTTAAAAGTACTTAATTTCTGTGTTCAGAAATATGTATGAACCCTGAAAGATTTCCTTTCAGAAAGTCATGAAACTTTGTGTGAGTTTTTTGCTTTTATCAGATTTTGATAATAAAACTTTGAGTTGAAAATTTAGAATGTTAAATCTTCCTTATTGACTTTATAGGGTAGAAAACTATTGGTTTTGTGCACTAGTAGTAGACGTCAAGTTTTAGAAGAAATGGAAATGATTTCAGCTTTTACATCAGTGCTCCGTGTTCCTAATCTTAGTTCTTCAGAGCATTTAATGGCTGTTCTAGAGGAGACTGATTGCTTTCGTAGAGAAGAATTGGTAAGAATTGCCAGGAAAACAGAAGGACGAAGGTATGTTGTAATTTGTAATAAGTATTTCTATATCAGAAATGCATTTAAAGTACAAAGTAAACATTTCCATTGCATTCCCTATTATAATCATTTGATTGATGATGTTTTTATGTTCCCATGAATGTATAAAATGTGATTTTTAATAATGTAATTAATATTTTATATTTTCATAGCATATTGTATTTCTTCTTACTGATGTTATTTAGTAATTATGTATGATGTTTATGTATTATCCTGTCAGCCATGAAACTGCTGCCAAGTAACATGATTTAGTGCCAGCTGTGGATAAGCATGGTGTCGCAACAGACTAGTAATAGCTTCACTTTTGTTTGATGTAACCACAATTGATCCTCGATAAGCCATCTTTTATTTTTATATACAAGGATGTAAGTTTACTATTATTGTAGCATTATTTATTGCATGAGGGAAAAAAAAAGGTATGTGACTGCATGCTAGTTCATTTACAGTTGCTCGAGAGACTTGACATCTGTTAAATGAGGAAAAGAATAGCCATATATGGCCGGTTAAACTGTAATCGATTGGAATAACTACCCTCAGCAAGATTGCATTCATAGCATTCTAAGTAGAGCTTCCGATAAAATCAATAAGCCTAACAGAATAGCAGAAGGCCCTTTAACAGTGCAAAAACAAAATAGGTCAAATACTTTCACAACACTGACTGTTTAGTGGTTTGTGAAGAGAGAATGACAAATTCTTTAGAATAACACTTGCAGATAAAAGTGTGGCTAAGAGTTCTGCAGGATAATTGGTTCAACATTGGAGGGATCTCCACCAACTTTCATGGTTTGATGGTAGCTGACATTTACGATCAGCGGGATAATACATAAATACCTTGTGTATTTATGTAAAACATTCTTGAAGCAATTATATTAAAGTTAATTGTATTATCTATAGAACAAAAAAACTTAAAATATTTTTTAAATATATAATGTGTGATTTTATTCTAAGTTGGTGCATTATGCATTCATGTGTAATGTACTTGATTTCAAAATTTTTATAATATTTCAGCCATTCTCATGATAAAATTCATTGGTATATTTCACTGAATTGTTCACAATATGTTCCAAACATCTTGGCAGTGTATGGTTATATCATTTCTGTAAAAACATGATGGTTTGGATGCATAAACTCATATGAAACATTTGCAGCTAATCATTATTTTCAAATAATATGCAATGGATTGCATTTGACTATGATCTGAAAACATAGTAATTTGTAGAATCCTCATCTTGGGAATAAACCAAATGTGGAAGAACCTTGCAGTTATGCAAATAAACGGAAACTTTTATCATGTTCGCTACATATATCTGACATTTTCCATGTGGATAATGATGCCATGGCATTTGTTTGGGCCTTTCCTCATGAGAAGAATACAGAAATAAACAAATCTTCAAGTCATTTTATATGGATTGAAGTCAAAATGGGTCAGGTTGTTCCCCAACCTAACCAGAGAGTTCAGCATCTCAATTTCTAGTAAAGAATCCATCAATTCATTTTCGGACTTTCTTTTAAGCAATAGCATACTCTCCATACACAACCCACATCAATATAAATTTGTTTGGAAGCCTCTCCCATTCAGAAGAACATGTTAGAGATGCTTTTTCTGAATTCAGAAGAACATGTTAGAGATCTTCACATTCTCTATACTTCAGACCCTGGGGAAAAAAAAAAAAGGACTTGGTATGCCATAACAGAATCATTTATATTGTTGTGAATATAATCTACAATTTTGGCATATTAAACTCCATAATTAGTAACATCAATAAAAAAAAGTGTGGAAAAAATTATATGAACCAATAAATCAACCCTTTATTTAACAAAGTCGTGGAATCCGGAGGGAAAACTTTGGAAAGTGGAAATTACAATAAAAGATTTTTTTAATTTAATATGATAGTAGTAAAATGAAATATAAATGTAAAATTAAGTACATTAAAATGTATCCATTCCTACAAAGTTACATAGGAAAATTCCATAAGGTCTTTCAAAAAATAATCGCTAATAACTCAGTAGCTTTTTCCATTATCAATAGCCCTGATACTGGAACACATTTTTCTCATTGTTTACAGACATTTTAATGTTGCATCCTTAACATCTTCGTAAACAAACATTTTCTTATGTTTTGTAAATAGACTGGTGGAATTAAAGTTTGATGAAATTTTGTCCCAATTTTTCAGGATTGCGAGTAAACTATTTTGTAAAGTATAGAATGTTATGGCAATGCTTTTCTTCTTTACAAGCTTTGTGCACTTCACCAAGAACCAGCATTTTTTCTTTATGTGTTTAACACTTTCATTTCAATATTTTTCATTCTATACACAACTGACAAAAAAAGTTTTGCATTATAAAACCAGAAAAGTAGAAATAAAAATTATGTGCAGCTATAATTTAACCTTAAGCTGATTTTTGAAACAGGATTGGTTGTGGGAATTTTTAATAAAAAGGTGTGTAAATGTTTTCTCATTCAAAAATCTCCCTCTCTCCTGCTTTATCTCTCATGTAGAATGCAATGTAGAACAGATAACGATCCACCTGCATTTCTTTAGGATGTATGCATGCACATGCATTTCACAGCAAATGAATAAATAACTTTAAAGTTAAAAAGTCAGCCATTTAAAAAACTTCCTAGATAGCAAGCTTCATTAAATAATTTCCTCTTTGGAGTTTTTTATACAAGGAAATCCACACCCTGGGCAGAATCCTACAAAAAATTTGCTGAATTGAGGAATTCATAAAATAGAATGCCATTAAATAGAGGTTTGGATGTATATCTTGCATTTCCATATGTTAAATAGCAAAGTTTGCTTATCATTGCATTGTTTCCTGATATCTTCTGTTAATGTCATGAAAGCTCAAAAGTGCTTGAAAAACTGTACATGTAGCTGAATACAAAAATAGTTAGGGTTATACATGTTGGAACTTAATTTGTAATTAGAATGGGTATGCTTGTTCAGTCAAATCTTGTGTATAACTTTTATTGTTGAGTGAATATTTTAAACTGCTCTTTAGCATGTAAAGTTTTTCTTCTTCTTCTTCTTCTTCTTCTTTTTTTTTTTTTTTTTTTTTTTTGTGTGTGTGTGTGTGTGTGTGTGTGTGTTATGGAAATAATTGATTTTTGGAGTTGTGTTTTCTACTTTGTGAATGTCCCGTAGAATGTTAGAGATTGAATAGATTTTGTACATATCAAAACTCTGCTTACTTTTTTTTTAGAGTCTGGGTAGGAATAAAGAAGTTACTTGCTTACATTGATTTAGCAAGACAGGTAAGTTGTTTATAAATATTTTATTAACTTTTAAATACTTTGAATGTTATTTATTCTAACTTTTTTAAGAAAAAGTTTGCTATTAAGAAATTTTATGTGATTATTTAATTCCTTATTAACACTACGGTAATACACTGAAGTGTCACTGAATTAGGGATAGACATGGCTATGCAAATTTTATAGCACTGTGTAGCATCTCTGCTCATGTGAGGAAGTTGTGGTAAATGCACATACAAGTAGTACTATGGTTGTTGTTAATCAATTGTTTCTATTACCAGTATGGGTAAAATTTCTGATTTAGACAGCTTCGATCTCGGATACATAGTAGGCACCCGACGCATGGGCCATTCAATTTCCAAAATCCTCAGCGGGCTAGGATTTTCAAGGTCGAAAGTGTCAAAAGTATACAGAGAATACACGGACGGTTGGAAAAACTAGAATGGCAAATTGCAAGGACAAAACTAGAAAAGCGTGGTGTGAAACGGCTCAGCCGTATTGACATAGGTCAATGAAGCCAACATATCTAATTATACCCAGGGTGACAGTTGTACAGCAGTAAAAGGATCGTGCAACACTCGTTTCACATAGGGCTGGAAGCTATAGATCACGAGGTACCTTGCGAATGCAGAATCGAGCGCACTTCTGCCAGCAAGAGAAACAGAGAATAGACTCTAGTGGACTTAAAATGAGTAGCAAGGAGTGATTAGTCTTGATTCCGACTAATTAATACTGATGGAAGGCTGAGAATATGGCGTGAGACTCGTGAAGCCATGAACTCTGTATGGCAGATTGGAACTGTCTAATGCCATGGTGGCTTAATCATGGTCTGGGATGTTTTCTCTTAGTAGTGTTTGGGATCTTTGGTACTTGTAACCAACCTCCCGTAACCCCTTAACTGCTGCGGGCATATATATACGCCTTGCTCAGCCCATGCGTTAACTGCCCCGTGCGTATATATACACCTTTCTCAAATGCTATCATTTGTTTTGCGCTGCTACCCATAAAATTATTCGCAAAGCTTTGGAATGCAACACCACAATGACCTTGACAATGTGAAGGAGGATACTATTTCAAAGAAGTGTGGAGAAATGGAGAGAGGGATGTGTCTAAAGCGGTTAAAATTAATGTCTGTGTGGTATGGATGGTGTTGTTTGAATAAAACGTTTTTTTTATCTGTGTCTCGTTTTCGTTTACTTTTTAGTAGGTTCCAGGATAATAAAGAAAGAATAACGGAGTTCAAACCCATTATCTTTTTGAAGAAATGCTCGGTTCATATGTTATGAAACTAACGTTTGTAGCGAGTATATGAACCAACACCTTGCAAATGAAAAATCAAGAACAAATCAGGCATTCAACGTCAGAAGAATATATTTTTTTGGCATATGATTTCAAGGTATAACACTGAAACCTGATATTACACTTTACTGGTCTAAAAATGATTTGATCTTTATAATTTTACTCAAAACATTAAATTTTGTGCATTCATTTTTTTCTTTTATTCTTTATTATGTGAAAGTAAACAGTTTTTAGAAAGTAAAACTTGCACTTATTTCCCCCCCTAATACATCGAATAACTATGCGTGCCTGTGTGAAAAACTGTGGCACTGGGAAATGAATCTTGTACATTTTCCGCGGCATTTAAGGGGTTAATTGATGTAGTGATTATTCATTGAATTCAGAAAATTGATGGAAGAATGATAGAATAATTGTTGTACTCATATGAATGATATTATAAAGTTTTCATGTTATTAATAAATTTTATTCAGTAAAAGAAAGAGAAAAATGATGGAAATTTCATAGAAAAAAGTAAGAAATAATGCTTAAAATTTGCATGTTTTAGATTTAAAAATTGTTAAATAATGAGACATATAACATTCTTCTAATAATTTATTAAAGTTGATCTATTTTAAAAAATTAAATATGCAAAGCATTGTGTATAGTTGTATAAAATTAATAATTTATTTATATAGCCATGGATGAAATATATGAAAAATATAGAGTAGACGGTGCAATTTATTTTTTGCACAAATAATTTCATTCAGACCTTGGATTGTAACAGCAGCTTCTTCCTGTGAAGACCGTGGCACTGGGAATGATCTGTAGTTTCTGCGGCAGTAGGGAAATATGATTTGGTAATAGAGTGGGGTGATCATCTCCATCCATTTGTTTGTCTGCATTCACATGGAAATGGTTATCCAGCAGATAACTGAACCTCTTACAGTCCCGGTTGGCTACTGCCTGGTTGGATGAGCGTTCTCCTAACTTTTTTGTCATAAATTGGCTATTTAAAAGCCTTGACTTAAATTCTACTGAGCATCTTTCGAACGTTTTGGAGAAAGGTTTGAAACCTCATCACACAACACTAGCCACTCTTCCTAAATTATAGACAGCTCTATCTGATCTCTGGCAAGCCATCCCTGTAGAATGATTCCAGTAACTTATTGAATCTATGCTTCATCCTTTGGGAGCCATTGTAAAGGCCAGATGAGGCTCAACTCGTTATTACTAGCTATCCTAATTCAGTGGCACTTCAGTGTATGTATCGTTTGCTATCGGAGGCCGAAAAAAATTCATATTTTTTCTATGTAAAAGTGAACTAGCTGTGTGTTTTTAACATAAGCAAACAAAAATGTGATGGCCAACATGCATAAGGATAAGGCATTTTTAAGGGATGAGATATTTAAATCCTCAAATTTTGAAAAGTTAAAATATTTGATTATTTGGCACTGTTTTCTTCATTTGATTTAATTTTTTTAGGGATGGAACTTTCATGTCTCGTACATTTTAGAAACTATTTGAAAATTCGCCGCAGAGCAGCGTGAAATTGATAAACAGATTTCGGATGGTAGAGAAACACGGATCTGCCTTATTCTTTTTTGCAGCCATCCCCTTTTGTTGCTGGACATCGAAACATGCTTTTGTTGTAGTCCCAATGGAAATTCATTGACATATTGAAATTCCCCTAATTTTATCCATGCTCCACAGTCTGTGAAAAATAAGCCGGATCAATCGAGATAAGCCCGCAATCCGCAATAGCTCTGAATAGATAATTAGATAATTTTAGCTTAGCTTATACCGTTCGTTATACATTAAACCGGAATGATCTATAGTCTGGACCTCAAAGCTACAAACTTTCTGCGCGTGCGTCAGCGCATGCGCAGAAAGTTTGTAGCTTTGAAGTTCAGACTATAGATCATTCCGGATTAACGACTTTTGACTATATTAGCCTTTGTGAGAAGAAATATTTATTAAGATCAAACAATTGAGGCCTGTCTTTCACAGAAGAGAGTGTCTTCATAGTGGATTCTCAAAAGAACTAGCTTGAATATTTTTTTTTTTTCATAAGGGAAAAACAATTAAAATCCTCATGCAATCAGCCTATCTGAAATTGTAGCACTTGAGGAATAGTTAGAGAAGTTCAAACAAAACACATTCTCTATTTGTGAACTAGATACTATAAAGATGAAGACATCTTAGAATGCATGTAATATGTATGGATATTTTTTAAATGATTGACTTGATTTTAAACATTCATAACATTGAAATTTACTAATGCAAAGTGACATGCAATACATAAAACAAAAGAAAAACTAAATTTCTGCAAATGTTTTGTTTAACCTTCTGTAAAATGAATAGTATCAAAATAATAATGAAATATTTGCTGTGCTTATTCATTCTATCTCTTACCATATTCTTTATAACAAGAACAATATAGTTTTGAAAATATGTGGACTTTAAGGCAAAAATGTCATGAATACAATATTTTTACTGTAATTTCAAATGAAGATGGTCACATGACATAAGATCCAGAGTGCAGTAGGCCATTTATTGAAACATTAGATCACCAGTTCTGCTTCTGACGTATCCAATACAGTTCTTTGTTGAAACACATAATATTCTACATAGTCATTGTGGTGATGTGCTAAAATTCAAAAGTTTGATGTGTCAAATTAATACTTAACAGGTGCAGAGTTATGTTTTACCTAAACTTGGGTTTCAAAAGAATTGTTGGGGAGTGCAACATTCAGCTTTGTTTGTGCTTTAGATATTACAGTGATCATTTTTGGTATTTTAATCAGTAAATTATTCGTGTGCAAAATTTTGAATGATGAAAAATTCTTTTAATTTTGTAATAATTAAAAGAGAGCAAAAACTGTCAGTTTTTTTTTTTTTTTTTTTTTCAGACATATTTAACAATATTTTTATTCTGTACCTCAGACCTAGCGTTTAAAAATCCCAATATTATAATCTGTTATTTATATATTAAAAAAATATTAAGTGTAAATTAACTATAATTTATTAGTTCTCAAAGGACTCTTAATATAAAAATGTAAATTATTCCCGAAGTAGTATAACATGTGAAGTAAATGTAATATTCGAAATCCACTTTGTTTCAGTACTAATTTTGTAAATTAAGCTTAAAATATGCTGATTCCCCTCTCCCTAAATTTAGTGTTACAACGCCTTTATTAGATATGTCTTTGATTTCCTGAGCTTTATAGTTTGGGAAGAGATTATTTGGTAGGGTAAATTTCTGTGAAACACTAGTTAGTGTACATTTTGGAATTTTTTATTATGCTATGAAAATTTCTTTTTACTTGAGGAATAAAGTATGAAACAAGTATATATATATAATATATATATAGGATCATTTATAAAATATTTTCATTATAATCTGATGAAACTATTTTTGTAATTAACATTTTGTACTTTTATTCATTTGAAGTTTATAAGCATATAATTGATTTTTGTATCAATGTGTAACTGAAATTAGCTTTTGTACTAATGAGGTGGACCAAATTTCCCAGTTTCATATAATCCCATAAATGTTGAAAAGGGCATTAATAATTGAAAATGTTTAGATATATGATAACACTTCATTCACTCCTTCAGGCCCACGCGCCGAGCGGTAAGATGCGACATGAGTTCGGTCGAGGTTCGAATCCCATGAACAGGGTGGCTGATGGGTTTTCGTGGTTTTCCCCATGGTAACGGTATACGAGCAGTTTCCCTTAGAAAGTCCTCCGAAGGCATCCCTCCTTTAGGAGAGCCTTGGTGCTTTGCCATAATTAAATAATCCAATCCAATCCATTCACTCCTTCTCTTTTCAACAAAAGATTTTAAATTTTACTTAAATATCTTTAATTAATTGTTTTAAGTCTTTTCCCCCCACTGGTATTCAAATAATTTAATTTTTTATATGGTAATTGCTCACCCTTCTTTACATTATGAGCTAATAGTTATTTATTGTCTTTTACTGCAAATAGCATTGCATATACTACAAAAACCTGCCTTATCAATTGATGTCTTTTCTGCAATACTTTTTGCCTTCCTTTTAAAAATAATAACGTTTAAAGAAGAGATTGTAGTACCATTGAAATTGTGTTGCTGTATTGAATAACACAGTTTCTGTGATATTGCAGTTATTATACCGTAAACATGTTGCAGATCTCTTTCATTTTGGGAAGGGATCTGCAACATGTTTACAGTATAATAACTGCAATCTAGCTATGACATTGTTAAAACACATAACATAATGAATATTAAATGCAAGGTTTTAAAAAACTGAATTTTTTTTTAAATGACTAGGACATCTGGTCACCTAATGTTAAAAGACTGCAAAATAGATTAATACTAATAAATTAAATTGCATTTCAGACTGATGGTGAACACAGAGTTAATAAATTCCTTAGCAAGTTAGAGGAAGAAAATTGCCTTGAAGGAGTTTAGATGTATTCTTTCATCATATTTAAAAGAAGTGTAAAGCATTTTAGGTGTTCTGTGCATTAAGCTGAAATAACATTCCTAAAGCAATATGTTACTTGAAGTTTCTTTTATATATATATAAATTATTCACACATTCCTCTGTTAAACAAAATGAACAGTAAATAATATATCTGTTTGTTTCCAATTTAAGCTTTATAAATTAAAGCATGAAGATTTTTTTACTTAATTTTTACCCTTCCGTTTAATGAGCATAATTATGACATAATTGGATTTTTATTGTGCTAAATAAAAAATAAGTGTATTTATTTTAATAAAACCATTATGAATATTTAATGGTTTTACTGTAATAATTACATAATTTGCAAGTTATTTCCATAATGAATATATAATTAAGTCAAACAAAAATAGCTTATTCTCTGGAATTTAAAAAAAAAAAAAAAAAAGTAGTGTTTTTTCCTGCATATTTTTTATTCCCTTATATAATTATAAAATAAATGCATGCATTTATTGCAGTTGAACAATTATCAAGTGAAGTAATGAAAACGTGCAGTTTTTTGGTCTTTCAACTTAATAGCTGTAACAAAGATTGCCTTTATGGTGTTCATTTAGATGGCACAAAATATATCTGTTGGTATTTATAAACTTGTATAGAAATGTTACAGAGATTTAGTAAATAATATGTAAATAGTTCAAGTTTATTAAGAACTCTTTTGCAATCATATTTTAAACTTAATCTAATTGTTGACATAATGTAAATTTTACTGTGCTTAATACATGTTAAATATTGAGTTTTTAATGTCAAGTAAATATTGACATTAGTAATGTGTGTTTTGTAGACCAATGTGCATATTAAGGTGATTTTAATTATGATTAAAAAATTATGCAATTGATTTTGAGTGAATGGGTAAAGCAACTTGCAATTAATATTAGTTGCCTAACCCCTAAATTATGTTGATGTATTTATAAATAATCAGTGATTCTGTAAAAAAATATAATTACAATATTTAAGTGTGCATGTTTAAGGTTTTATTTCAATATACTTCATGTTAAGATAGCCTTTAATAATGTCCTTATTTCTTTCATTAATAGAGTCTTTAAGAGAAATGGTATGAATTAGGTGCTTTTTATTACAATGCAGTAATTTGTCCTTATTCTAGGTGTTCAGACAAAATAACTATTTTACTCTAATAACAGTATTTTAGAGCATCAAATGAATAATATTGATGTGGCTTTGGAGTTGCTCATACATAGATGTGTGTTAGTGACATTAAGTGTAGAAATTTTAGTAAATTGGCTAATTGCAAAAAGTATTTATTCAAAAAGAAATGTAAATATCCCATTTTATTTGTGTTTTATTTTGTGATTGTTTTGGTGTAACAATCAGCAAAAATAATCGCTGAAAAATAAATGTAAAAATATTTTAAAACATGGTTGTTCATTATTTTAAATTATAACAGTTGTTAACTTAACCTGTAGACATTGCTAAGATATTGATAGGATATGTAGTTATCCATTATGTTATGTAATACTCATGATGTTTCTATTAATATCATAGTCATTCCTTTCCTCAAAGATTTTTCCATTGTATGTACACTTAGCATTTCCTTATTTATTTTGATATATTTCTGAGAGAAAATTATATATTTTTAAAAATATACTTTTTGAAGGGTTAGAAATAATTATATACAATTAACAGATTGCATATAGCAAAAATATAGGACTTGTATGCTTTTATGGTAAATAACTAGAAAATTTCGAGAAGCAAAACCTGGGAAAGAACTAAGGCAGAAGCAGTATTTGATGAACCAAATAGTATTGAACAGATTATCTGACATTTTTCATTTCGATAAAAGAATTATGTTGAGAAAGAGAAAATGCAGAAGTAGCAAATTCATTTGCAGTATTAAGAAAACAAAGAATATTTTATTTAAACAGAAAAAATATACTAACTACTGTTAATGAACAATAGAAGAAATGTTATAACTTTAATTGTTAAGGAAAATAAGGTTGCAATTTCAAAAAATTGAATAAGAGGATGTTCTCTTCCCTTCTGTGTTAATTGGCCAAGATAAGAAATAATAGTATGTGGAAGAGTAAATCTGAGTGTATAAAAATTTTTTAAAAAAAAGGCAATGTCCACAGGAAGTAAATGAATTAATTCATTATAAGAAATTAAATTTCTTAATTTTTGTAATGCTGACAAAGTTATTTTTAAATCACATAATTGCTTGTTTTGTGAATTGAAATAGTTTAACAGCTATTGAAAATTTTATGAGTGAGTGTGAGTGATAATTTCGCTTTTAAGAGAATTTTTCTGGTTTGCATAAATTTAAATATACTTTTTAATCTGTGTAAGCTTTATAAAAAGGAATTTATAAATTTCACCGCATCTAACTTGAAAGAATTATACCTGAAAGTTGTCATCTAATTGAAAAATCACATATCATAATTTTGCTAAAAGTTTTGTAGTTTATAAATGTATATATTTGTTACAAAAGTACAATTTTTATTTATTTGTGAGTTTATTTATTGCTAATGTGTAGTTCAAAACCAAATCAGTTCTAAATAAAATATTTTTATGTGTCTGGTTTCTAGTAGACCTATTGTACTGTAATGTTGTTGAAAAATAAAAAAAATTAATAAAAAAGTCAAGTTGAGAAGTGTGAAATTATTTTAAATATGTGTATTTTCTACATTTGTTACAGTTACTTGAAGAACATTAATTAATTAGTTACATATTAAATACATAAAACTACCTGAAAAATAATTAAATACTAGCCCAAATATTAAAAAAAAGAAGAATAATTTGTTAAATAATCTTATATTACAAATTCTTTGTATAAAAATACTAATATATATTTGCTTAATTTAATTAGTAGAAATGTTATTAAAACAGAAATATCTTTAATTCTCAACCGGCAGTGGTACACAAGAGAAAATAAGTGGTAATTAAAAGTAAAATATTTTAACTATTAAGTTCAAAAATTAAAACCCCAACATCCTCATTGAGATTTTTTCTCTAACACTCATAAATTTATGCAATCTGAGCTTTGTTCAAGAGTGGTGGTGGTGGTGATACTAAATGTTTTCAGTTTTTCTTTAGATGTCAAAAGTCGTTAGCCAAATGGTTGAGAACCGCTGATTTAGATTATAAGGTAACTAAATGCCCTTCAGGCCCTGCTAAACTGCCAAGCAAGTTATCACGCCATCTCAAACTGTATGATAAAGTTTTATGAACGTTTTCTTGAATTTGCGAGAATTGACTTCTATAGCTAGGTTATTTAGGAAATTGGTCCATTTTTAGTTTTTGAAGTTCTTGATTATTCTTTTTTTTTTCTCCATAGTTTAGTTTGTGTTTGAGTTGTGGATCCCTGGTGGTTTGTCATCTTTTACGGATCCGCGGATCCGGTTTTTCTCTTTAACCCATCAGCACACGCGCTGATGTAAAATCCACTTCACGTATAGTCTTTTCTTAGAAAATAAGGGAAGGTCGTATGCGACCTTTCTAGTACTTCATGTACACTGCTCAAAAAAAAAATGGGACAGTCCTATATCTCCCGATCTACTGGGCCGATTGACAAAATTCAAATTGCGTTCTTCATGTCTCGAAAGCGCGACTTAGGATATATATTAGATTTTATAAACACTATTCTAACATAGGTATTTTGACACAAAATCGGACTTTTTCTGAATACATACCAACTTTTTTACATATTTCGATTCTACGACTCAATTACGCCTAAATATGAAATTTGTAAAATTTGGAGCGAAAAATTACGGAGAAATTCACAAATTTAGTTGGCACTTTTTTGTCGTTTGCGCCAAGAATACTTCACTTGGCGAACTTCTTAAATATGGCAACCTAGTTTCCTTAGGAAAAAAAGTCACCATCGTTCCTTTTTATCCAAATAATATTCTTTATATTATATTTTTAATTATAACTTATTATTTAAGTAATTTTTTCTTTTCGAATTTCATTTTAATTGTTTAAGTTCCACGTTTTTTTTTTTTTTTTTTTTTTCGAATAACTGTTTTAAAAATTTCTATTACCTATTCGAACTGCGTAATAAAGGTGCAGAGTTTATTATTTTGTTCAAATATTTTCTTTATATATATTTTTCGTCATAGCTATTATTTTAGGTCTTTTTAAATTTTTCTACTTTTATTTTAATTGTTTGTGTTGCATTGTTCTTCAGATAATTGTTTAAAATTTTCTATTTATTCCTTCGAACTGAGCATTTTAAATATTATAATATCAATTTTCCCGAATTTGATTTATTTATGAACTTGCGTTTTTTTCGAAAGAATACTTTGTAACCCAGACTACGATCGTTTGAAAACTGCATCATAGTATATAAAAGAGAAAATACAGTAAAGCTCAGTTTACACGCTTTCAATGTCCGTTCAGAAAATATATATAAATAAGAGGAGTAAACCGATATTTTAACTTAGGATGACTTGCATATACTGCTTAAACATTTTATCATTGTCCATTGCTTTACACATTTTATCCTACATTGGTTCTTAAAAGTTATCATATGTTATTCAATATTTTATTTGAAATCGCAAGAATCCAATATCATAAGATTGAAAATTTTAAATTCAAAAAAAACGAAACTAAATTTACGAAAAAATTTATTTTTCTTCTTGTTTCTTTAAGCATTCTAAAAGTATATTGAAAGTATCCAACTTTTCGAAACATTTTGGTATTTCTGACAATCATTTTAAATAAAGTTATCGCCTTCCATTTCATAAAGGCCCACAAACGGCCGAGCGGTAAAGTTGCTGAACACTGGTAGTTCACTCCGGGGTTCGAACCGGTAAACGGTGGTTGCATGGGCGTTTTCGGGATTTTTCATGGTACCGCGTATGACAGCTGGTTTTCTCTTAGAAAGTTCTTCACGAAGTATTTCTGAGCCTTTCATCTTTAGGTAAATTTTGAGCTATGAGATGAAAGGAAAGACTGGTTTTCATCAAAAGGTTTTGGTTTATTTTATTATCAAAGCAATACGGCTATCTGCCTAGGGGGGGATGCCTTCCGGAGGACTTTCTAAGGGAAACTGGTTCGTATACACGTTACACATGGGGAAAATCAGGAAAATGCCCATGTAGCCAGTCCGTTCCCGAGATTCGAACCTCTGACCGAACCACCAGTGTTCAGCAACTTTACCGCTCGGCCGCTAGTTCATCAGGAAGGGAAAAAAACATCTTTAAACATCCACATACATCACTGGATAAACTCCTGAATCTTCAAATAATTCGACTGAGGAAATCATGGGATTCACCATTTATGATACGATATGAGTTCTATAAAATTTACACAATCATATAGTTTAAAACCAGTCGCTCTTCACTTTAATCTGCAATGATATCGTTTTGTCTTTTCTGTTACAAGCTCAATTGATGGTATTTGCTGGTGTACTCGTCCAAGTGTTTCATTTGAACACCTAAATTCTTTGAAGTATCTGAAAAGTATATTCGAAAGCGTCACTTTTGAAACATCTTGGTACGTCTGACAGCCAAATTTCCTGCAAAGTTTGCTTACTTTTCTCCCTAATTTTTCTTTCCTTCTACAGTTATTTTCAGTGCTCACACAAGAAATTAAGATTTTTCGACTGCTAGACTTCCATACATTTTGCATTCTTGCAATTTTTAAATCAATTATAGAATTGCGTTTCAGCAAAGACAGCTTTTCATTTTCTAGTCATTTGAGCTATAAAAGTTAAAGCGAAGTCCAAAGGATACATAATTTAATTAAAAGTTTTTGCTAAATGACAAAGAAATAAAACAAGTCCAGCAGGGTTTTCTGTACCACAGAGTAACCCCATTCTTATATCGGCTTGAAACAATCTAAATCATATTAAAGATCATGTTTTTTTATACAATCTATAACGCGAGAGAAAAATTGCTCTTAAAACATGCTTTCTAAGGAATTAATAAAAAATTATATTTATATATAATTTTTTAAAGTTGGGACTTGAACCAAAATGTAGAATTTAGTTATTTACATGGTGGTTATTATTAAGTTCCACTTTGAAATGGTCATAAAGGAAAACTAGGACCAAATGTTATCAAACTTGGGAATCGTGAAGGAGGTTATGAGAATTTATTTTCGGCGGAAAAAAAAAAAAGTTCAAAAAATCACCACCAGTGGAAAAATGGCGCTGTATACAATATTGTTAAAGAAATAAGACACGAAACATCTGTTAAAATGGTTTAAATATTTTCGAAACGTGTACAAAGCATGTTAATGTAGCGCCAGCATTTTCCGAAAGCAAGTTAAATCATGTTACGCATTCTCCAGCAGCGAGCATATCAGGTTTGGTTTTGGTTTGGATTATAGATTACGGCAAAGCGAGGGCTATCTGCCTTAAGGGAGGGATGCTTCGTGGAGGACTTTTTAAGGGAAACTGGGCGTATACACGTTCCAAGCATATCAGGAGGAATTTATCCGTGTATCACTTTTTCATTCTGCAAAATTGTTTAGATTATCACCATAAACAGTGCTTTTTGAGATAACCTCATAGACAAAAGTCAAGGTTGAGGTCTGGGGAAGAGGGGAAGTGTTGGCCTATAAGACGTTCATTTGTGAAATGTGCCTAGTAACTATGCGACAACTTGAGGTGGTGCACAGCCCTGCATAAAAATCGAGTATCTAAAATCCACGTTACTGGCATTATGTATCAACGAAACATTTAATATGGCTCTTAGGAACTTCAATCGCAGTGGTCCAGCTGTCGACTGCTCTTCAGAAAAAAA